ACCACTCCAAGTACTCAGAAGGACAGACCAGCTCTGCAGACAACCAATTAGAGAGTGAGCGAGAGAGCCTGGACCAAAGACTGGATTGTTAAGGGTTCTTTGGGACAGCCCCACATGGAGGCAATGTTCAGCAACTGAACACCGTTCTCGTTTTTTCTACTATAAGTTTTTTTTTAAAAACTTTCACTTAGAAATAACTCCTTTTATACATTGAAAACATTGCGTTTGTTCCAAGCTTCATAACCCAAATTATTCATTTCCACATCATTTATTTTTAATAAATGGAGATTTTAACAGCCTGTTAATGGGCTGCTGTGCTGGTAAACTGTCTGTTTACAAGCAGGCTTTCAATAAAAAAAGAACATGTCTCTGCTGCGTAAACATACATGTACGTGCAGCACAAGGTGCTTACCATTTACAAAGGAGCCAGTGGATTAAAGTGGAGAGCTTAATGTTGAGAGATAGGGGCTGGTGCAGAAAAACAAGGACATCAACAGGCGGTGAGGCTCCAACCAAATAGAGACTTTGGGATCCAATTTCAGGGGAGGGAGCGGACAGCTCGGGTATGGAGTTAGCAGATCACTGAGGTAGGAAGGAGCAAGGCTGTGGAGACTTTGAAAGTGAGGATGAGGATTTTGAACTCTATCCTCTGGGGGATGGGGAGCCAGTGGAGCCGGGCGAGGATGGAGGCAACAGATTACGGAGCCTGGAGCTAATGCAAGGATGTCCTAAGGTGCTGGAAAATCCAGCAAAAGTGGAAGCTCTAGGAGCAATGTGTAGCTTGGGGGGAGTGGGGAGGGTTTAAATGACAAATCTATTTGCTGTGCAAGTGTGCGTACAATTGCCAGCTGCAGCCGTGATGATATGGATTCTAATGCAAGATCGACCGGATGTGAATTATAAAGGACCATTAATATTTATGGCACTGTGGGAAATGGAACTCAGGCTGACAGATCAGCACCTCCAGGCACAAAGAGTTAACACTGTATTAAGTTACAGTGTTTGCAGCGTTGTGGGGGGAATCTCACATTTGTGACTTGGCAGACTCTAATCTCCACCCACCCCCCCCACACACACATTCATTTGTGCAATAAGGAAGGAGAGGGGGAAGGGGGAGAGAGAGAGGCATGAAAGACAAACTCAAACTAGACTGAATTATATTAACTTTTACCTGGAGTTTATTCCTGCAGTGCATCACAGGAGGCTACAAGAGCGAAAAAACAGTGCACTTCATCAGTTGGCCCAAAAGTAAAATACAACCATAGCGTACTGGTTAGAGCGCTCGCCTTGCAAGTGAGAGGACCCAGATTTGAATCCTGGCAAGGCGAAACCTTAGTCAAGTTTCCTTACTTCACATGCATCTGTTTACCTAGCAGTAAGCAGGAACCTGGATGTTAGTCGATTGGCTGATCACTTTCCAGGGGAAACAATCCCTTCAAAAAAAATTGGTCACTCAATCCATGACTGTTCGTTGCATACTGCTGTGCCGTGTTGTAGCCACAAAATACAGTCAATCCACTGGCCGAAGCGACTGTTAAAGAGGAAGGTTTTGAGATGGGTCTTGAAGGAGGCAAAGGAGGGGACGAGGCAGAGGGATTCGGGAATGGAGTTCCAGAGCAGAAAAGCTGAATCCTGACCACAAATGGGGAGGCAGGCAGGGCAAGGGATATGCAGCAGGCCAGTACCCGCTGAGTGGAGGGAACAGAAAGGTTGGTATGATCTTAAAAGGTCTCTAGAAGTAGGAGAGCTTTAAAAGTGAGTACGCAGATTTTAAACTCAATCCTACACTTTACAGTAAAATCCTGTGAAGCGTTTTGAAACATCAACAATAAAAGGTGTTATATCACTTGCAAGGATTATTATTATGATGCATTAAACTGAGAAGCTGTCAGCATGGTCAGGTGAAAGATAACTATTACTAGAAAAGACAAGTGTTTCCCCGGCCAACGATCCTCCAGACAAACTGGCCAGTCACCTCATGGCTGTTTTGCAGACATTGCAATGTATCTATTGACTGCCTATAAAACCGGTCACTACATCAACAGTAAGTGTTTTGAGACACTGGACACGATACAGTGCGAGACAAATGCACGTTATTAGCCTTGCTTACTGCTACACAGTGCGAAATATGGAGGACGTAAAACACAGGAGGGAGAGACACCCTGCACCACTTACACTCACTAACCTGGGCTGCTAAAGTAATAATAATAATCCTTGCATTTGATATTGTGCCTTATCACACCATTGAGAAGTCTCAAAGCGCTTCACAGAATATATTGTAAAGCGGATTACTGTATATTTTGTGGGCGAAACACAGCAGTCAATTGCTCATAGCAATGACCCACAAACAATCGTGGATTGAGTGACCAATATTTTTTGTTGCAGAAAGCAATCTGTCAACTGACTAGTAATTCTGTGTAAAATAATGAAACTTGCCTAAGGTTTTGCATTTCCAAGGAGTAGTGATGCCCAGAGAATGTGCTTCTCTGACAGGGAGAGGGTTATGCCAGGCATCGTGTGTGGACAAACAGGGGAGAGAAATAAAAGATGATTTACTATTTTTAAAATTATTGAGTTAATTACCAGGAAAAGAACAGCCAGTTCTCTAGATGTTCCTTCAATTTAAGTCACTACACCCACAACCGTGATTATCTCACTGGCATTTACTGTGTGCAAACTGGTTGCCGTGTGTCTGTCACCTTTAATTGAGAGTACAAGCAGGTGTTCAAAGATATAGGGGTAATTCAACTCCCATTCCAATATGTTCAGCCGATATCTTTTATGGAAACCCATCACCATGTGCAGGTTGGCAAGAACCAAGGCTTGGGGACCCCAGAGTGTGCAATGGGGTAACTGCTGGAGTCTAACCAGCTAAAACCACACAGCTTGACATTGATATATCTGTCTGGCAAACTTTCCGCTGCTTGTCCAGCTAGAACTACCCTACCCGTAAGGGCTTTGGCTTGCAGGGATAACAAGAGCTAAGTGGGAGGATTCCCTGCTTCCAAATCCTACCAATGTGCCAAGCTGGGCTGTGCTGTCATAAGCAGTGGCAAGATGTAGCCAGGAGTTATTCTGAGATACTGAGTCATAGTCTGGGCCAATAGTGGCCGCACTATTCCGCGGAATCCACTACAAATACCCTCCTCCACTACAAACCTGTACCCAGTGTGTTTGGCCCTGGGCCTCTGCGCGCTGTTTGCTTGACACTGCTACTATGGGTGGAGCAGCTCTGGTCGTGCATGCGCGGCATGGAGAGCTTCGGGATCACGGAAGTGGTGCGAGCAGGAAATCGGCTTTGCCCGGCCTAAACTGAGCTCCTGCATTAAATATCTTCGTAAGAGCTGTACTGTTCAAATGAACATTTTTAGTATTTTAAACATAACTTCATGATCAGGAAATATATGCCTATCGTTTTGATCCGAGCTGTTTCAAAAAATACATCTCTCAATAGCATCAAAACCATCTGCAATTTCTCACAAGATTTGCCAAATGCCCCACAGTTCTCGGGAAATATTTCCAAAATGTTCTACTTGGCCCAGCTCATGGGCTGGGCTGCTCCAGTACAAAGAGGCAAATCGTCAGATCATACCACTCAAGGTCTGACCTTCAACAGATTATTTATATACACATATATATATTACAAAAACACGCCCATTACAAAATGCATCTGTCTGCCAACTGTGACTGAGAATTCATGTATCTTGTAAATAATTTAATAACTAAAGGAAACCATCAATGTTCCCAAGGGCTGTCTGACTGTCCTTTGGCAACCAACCTGGGCAGCCACCCAATGTAGGTTGTTCACAAAGTCCCGTTACCCTGACTTTTTTATGTCTGATACCAGGAACTTCCTCGTCACTCCATCCATGTTAACAATAATACTTGTATTTGATATAGCGCCGTATCACATCGTTGAGGCATCTCACAGCGCTTCACAGGATATATTGCAAAGTGAATTGACCGTATGTTTTCCTCCTGATGTGGAAGGTGCTATATGAATAAAATGTGTTGTTGTTGTTAAGGGCACATCTCCAGCAACAGATTTTAGAGGGAGTTTGCCTCTTTCACATCCAGTGTGGTGAACCCAGCATGGAGTAACGTTCCAGTGGGGTGGGGGAAAGCGTTCTGTTCCCGGGACCCCAAGCCCTGTACGAGGTGTGGGCGCACACAGGATGCCCCAGTCCTGGATGTTCCTCACAGTAGCTCCCAGGGCCCTGGGATTTTCCCAGGAAACATTTATAATGTTTACAATCTGGAATCCCCCTCTGGCCCTGGCAGTCTACAGCAAAACATTCACAGGCCAATGATTGCACTTCCCACATGCTGAGCCGTGGCTATGGGGGAATGGAGTAAAGCACAGAGAGAAAAACTTTACAGTGAAACTACTGAAACTTCTCAAAGCGCTTCAGATTGCTGTATAGTGTAGTGACTTTGTATTTGTAGACAAACGCAGCTGCCAATTTGCGCACATCAATGTCCTACAAGCAGCTATGGAATGAGTGACCAAATTCTATTTGGGGGATTGTTGGCCAGGACACCGGAAGAGAGAAACACCCTTCTCTTTTCCAATAGTGCCATGGGACCTTTAACCAACATCTACCAGAGAGAACCTCAGTTTCCTTACAGTGGAGTAAGGGCACTTGTTCAAGGTTTCACTTCGCTTGGGAATCGAATACAGGCCCTCTTGCTTGAGAGTTGAGAGCTCCAAACATTACATTATAGGACTTCACATGGGCAGGGGTTGGTGTTGGCAGGGTACCAGGTGGGGTGGTTGGCAGGTCATGGATGTCCCAGTGTGGTGATGTAGAGCAAAGCACTGACTTAGCTGGGAGCCTTGCAGTTTATATCAGCAAACATTCAGCCCTTCTTTCTTTCCTCCGGTTGACAAACCTGTCAGAATGGGATTTCCCCCAACCTGTGGGATTGCGAACGTCGCGATTTTGCTCAAGACCTCTTTGTGTTTGTATTTTTTTTAAAAAATCTTAGAAAGCACTTACCTGTTCAAGTGGGGCTTCTGTTTTTTCGGAACATGGCCTTCTGGCAGAGTGGGTTTGTGGTCTGGCAGCAAGCCTACAAAAGCAATTAGTGCCACACTGGTAACTATAGCAGCAGATGTCTTTTACAGTAAGTCACACCAGCAATTTCGCACACACAAAACTAAAGCCCACTGTAAAGCCAGCTGCAAACGGACTCCCCTGCTCTCCCCCTCTCCCAAGAAATTGTTTTATCAGCTATTCTCCTTTTAATTGACTTTTGGATTCTGACTAGTGAAACTTGGTTTAAGAACCACTTCCCTTCTCTACCTCCTTTCCCATGTTGCCCCTGCTTCCAGAGACCACTGCCAATTCCATCAGCTACCCTCAAGCTTACTTGAGTCACAATAGAGGGTAAGATGCAGAGTGAACCCTCTCACTGTGTCCTAAAAACTTTTCCTCTGAAATACTCCTTGCACTTAACACAATGCCTATAACGTCAAAACACTTCAAAAGGCTTCATTGCTGTGTATTTTGAGGAAAATGCAGCAGCCAGGTGGCACACAGCAAAGTTCCACAAACAGCCAGGACTGATTTATCTACTAGAGAATTGAACATATTCCCTTCTCTTTTCCAATAGCATCGCAGGGTAATAATAATAATACTTGGATTTGATATAGCGCCTTATCACGCTGAGAGGACATCTCAAAGCGCATCGCAGGATTTACTGTGAAGTGGAGTATCTGCATTCGTAGACAAACGTGTAGGCAGCCCAATTGCATACAGCAAGGTCCCACAAACAGCTGTGAAGTGAATGACTCTTATTTTTAATTTGGGAGATTGTTGGCCAGGACACCAGCAGAGAGAAACTCCCTTCCTTTTCAAACAGTACCATGGGATCTTTAACGTCCACCTGGACAGGTAGATGTAACCTCAGTTTTAATGTGTCATCTGAAGGATGCCACCACCAACAATACAGCAAACCAGCACTGCAATAAAGTGTCAGCCTGTACAATATCAGTTCCAAGTCCCGACATGGGGCTTGAACCCACAATGTTCTGAACTTAAGAGGCAAGAGTGCTTCATAGGAACATAGGAAATGTTAGCCAAAAAAAACCAAGATCCATCTAGGTCGCCTTCCACCATTCTGGCAGTCGCATGCACGTGTCACGTCCTGAACTATTCATATACTGTATCCCAAAATATTATTTCCTAATATAAATCTATCTAATTTGCATTTGACGGAATCAACACTTTCTACTTCCACCATATCTCGAGGGAGTGTGTTTCATGGATTTACCACTCACTCACTGAAATAGTGTTTCCACAGATTAGATTTGAACGTACAACAACTTTCACTTATATAGCACCTCTCATGCAGGGTAGCGTTCCAAAGCGCTTAAGGTTACCCTACCAATTTACCTAGAGTGACACATGATGACAGAAGTAGGGTGGAGCAATGGCCTTGGAGGCATTTCAAAGTGCGAACAAGGATCTTGAAGAATGGGGAGACAGGGAAACCTGGTGAAGTCAAACAAGGACAGGATACAGACAGAAAAGGCAGCACCACAGTCTCTAATTTGGCATGGTTGGCAACATACTTCAGCATTGGGCTTAGGGCCAGTTGTCAACATGCCCTTTCAGAAACGTGGTCTCTTGCACTTCGCAGAAACTTTCAATCCTTGCACACATTGCTTGAAAGACCAAAAACAAAAAATGGCTGTCAGAGGGCATGGCGGCTGATTTGAGCTTGTGGTACTATGGGGGATAATGCTGAGTTTTTAATGCTGTCAATTACTGAGATCCCTCCTCCCCCAACTTTCAACAAATACATTCTGTGGCACGTAAAAGGGAACACTGCGAGGCACTTAATGTAATTAGATAAATTAACAATGAACTGCTGGTTATTAATTAGAAATGAAGGGAATGTTAAGGAGTCAAACGCAGCAGTTAATCTGAGCCAGAAACATTCCACAAACCGCAAATCGATGCAAAGCCGATTAACATGAATTTTTGGAGTGGATTTGGCTTGGGGGGTGGGGGGGGGGAAGAGAAAGGAATTAAACCCAAGATAACCAAGAAGAAAACTCTTTCTTTGAAACAGCGGGTGGGAGGGATGGGATGGGGGATGGGGGTAGAGGGACATGTAGTCCCAACATGTAATAACATATAATAATAATCCTTGCATTTGATATAGCGCTTTTCACATCTTCTAGACAACAACAACAAGATTACATTTGTATAGCGCCTTTCACGTCGGGAGGACATCCCAAGGGGCTGGACAGAGTACAGCATTTCAGACCCGAGCTGGAGTTGGGGGGGGGGACGGGAAGGGGAGTGGTCGATGGCATGGTTGAAGAGGAGGGTCTTGAGGCGGGACTTGAAGAAGGCTAAGGAGGGGGCGAGTCGGAGTGTTTGGGGGTGGAATTCCAGAGGATGGGAGCAGAGCGCCTGAAGGCTCTCCCACCAATGGTGGGGTGGGTGGGTCGGGGGACGTGGAGCAGGCCAGAGCCGGCTAAGCGGAGGGAACGGGCGAGTTGGTAGGGGGTTAGGAGGTCGCAGAGGTAGGGTGGGGCGAGGCCATGGAGGACTTTGTATGTGAGGACCAGGATCTTGAACTGGATCCTCTGAAGGATAGGGAGCCAATGGAGTCGGGCGAGAATGGGGGAGATGGGGTCATGGAGTTTGGTGCGGGAGAGGACACGGGCTGCAGAGTTCTGGATTATCTGCAGCCTGTGGAGGGAGGAGTTGGGAAGGCCGACAAGCAGGGCGTTTGCATAGTCGAGCCTGGAGGTGATGAATGCATGAACAAGTGTTTCAGCGACCTGAGGGGTGAGGTAGTGGCAGAGTCGGGCGATGTTATGGAGGTGAGGGAAGGCAGAGTCGGTCATGGCTTGAATGTGGGGGAGAAAAGACAGTTGAAGGTCGAACAAGACACCCAGGTTCCTGACTGGCTCGGTGAGTTGAAGTGTGCAACCATGGAGGTTGATGTTACCAGAGCCTGAGGTGCTGAGGCGCTGGTGTGAGCCAATCTGGAGGGCCTCAGTCTTGTTCACATTCAACTGTAGGAAACTGCCCTCATCCAGGACTTGATGTCCGACAGGCAGTCTGTCAGGACAGCAGTGGTCCTGGAGTTGAGGGTGGAGGCAGAAAGATAGAGTTAGGTGTCATCCACGTACAGTGGAAGTTGACCCCATGTCTGTGGATGATGTCACCAAGGGGGAGCATGTAGATATTAAAGAGGAGAGGGCCAAGGACGGAGCCCTGGGGGATGCCAGACGTGACAGTGCGGGGGCTGGAGGAGAAACCGTTAAAGGCAACAAAGTAGAGACGGTGAGGGAGATACGAATCGAATCAGGCAAGGGCAGGTCCGCGAAGACTGAGTAAAGCGGAGAGACGGTGTATGAGGATGGAGTGGTCGACAGTATTGAAGGCGGCAGAGAGGTCAAGGAGGACAAGGAGGCAGAGGGGGCCCTGATCACAGATGTTCAAAATGTCATTAGTGATTTTCACCAGGGCTGTTTCTGTGCTGTGGGCAGGGTGGAAGCCGGATTGGAGGGGTTCAAAGAGGGAATGGCGAGAGAAAGGAGCGGAGCTGGGACGCAACGACTGGTTCCAGGACCTTGGAGAGGAATGGGAGGCTAGAGATGGGGCGGTAGCTGGAGAGGAGGGATGGATCCAGGGAAGGTTTTTTCAGGATAGGGGTGATGACGGCCGTTTTTAGTGGAACTGAACCGGTGGACAGGGAGAGGTTGATGACATCGGACAGGTGAGGGTCCAGAAGGTGGATTTGGGAGACGAGGAGAGAGGTGGGGATGGGATCGAGGGAGCAGGTGGTGGGTTTGAGTTTGCAGACAGTTGTGGTGAGGGAAGAGGGAGAGATAGGGTCGAAGGAGTATGGGGGGTGGGTCATGAGGGAGAAGTAATGTAGGGGTGGCTGTGGACGGGGCTGAAGTGGCTGAACGTATCCCCTCGATTTTAGATTTGAGGAAGTCCAGTATCTCTTCACAGTTGGAGTTTGTGAGGACAGGATGGGCGAGGTACGGGAGGGTGAACAGAGGAGACAGTTAGTGGTGGAAAAGAGAAACCGGGGGTTGTCCTTTGCCTCCAAGATAACCTTGGAGTAGAAGGAGGATTTGGCAGAGGCAAGAGCGCAGCGGTAGATCTTGGTGTGGTGAAGCCAAATCTGCCGATGGACCGTGAGTTTGGATTTGGTCCAGGCGCGTTCGGCAGCTCACACTTGTGCCTTGAGGGAACGGAGATGGCTGGTATACCAGGGGGATTTACGGGACTATGAGGCAGTTCGGGAGATATGGGGGGCAAGGGAGTCCAGAATGGAGGAGGGAGTTGTGGAGAAAGGAGAGTGAGGAAGGGAGATCGGTCAGTGAGGGCCAGAGGTATAGGAGTTCAGATGACTCCAGGGCAGTGGAGAGGGAGGAATTTTTTTTCCATGGATGGTATGTAATGATGGAGGGTTGGGAAGGGGGAAGCGGTACAGAGGTGTTGAGGGAGATGACGTGGTGGTCCGAGATGGCTTTATCGACGATAGTGATGTCCGAGACGGTGAGGCCCCGGGTGATCACCAGGTCAAGGGGGTGGCCACCAATGTGGGTTGGGGAGTGGATGAGGAGGGAGAGGTTGAAAGAAGAGAGGAGGAAGGAGAAGTCGGCAGAGGTAGAGCAGGAGGGGGTGAAGTGGAGGTTGAAGTCGCCTGAGATAAAGAGGCGTTCAGAGCAGAGAGAGAGGGAAGATAGGAGGGTGGAGATGTCCGAGAGGAAGGTGGGGGAAAGCTTGAGGGGACGGTAAACAAAGAGGATTTTGAAGGAAAGCCTGGAGGGGTAGTAGAGGGTAAGGTGTTCAAAGGAGGGGAAGGTTCCGGAGGAGTAAGGGGAAAGGCCGAGGGAGGACCGAGAGATGAGAGCCACACCACCACCACAGCGATTAGGCCTTGGGGTTTGGTGAAAAGTGTAACCTGGAGGTGTGGCCTCAACTAGTGGGAAGGTGTCGCCTGGGGTGACCCAGGTTTCGGTGAGGGCTAGGATGTCGATATTTTCCTCGACTGTGAGGTCATGAATTATGAGGAATTGTGAGGGACGTCTCAAAGCGCTTCACAGAATATACTGTAAAGTGAATTGACTGTATATTTGTGGGTGAAACGCAGCAGCCACAGCACAGCAGTGTTCCACAAACAGTCGTGGATTGAATAACCCAATTTATTATTGATTTTTTTCTTGAGGGATTATTATCAGCCATGTGGAGTAAGGAAACTTGCCCAAGGTTTTGTGCCGGAATTGAACCTGGGTCCTCTCGCTTCCGAGGAGAGTACTCTAACCACTGAGCTACAGGACTCCAAATAATCACCTCTTGCACAGCACAGGTAACTAATAACATGTTGGGAAGAAAGAAGATGACCAAAGGCATGGTCAGACATAAATTAATTAATTCGAATTCAATACATCAAAATAGATTTAGGATTTTTCAAAATATAAAAAATTCTTATTAAGTCAATTGGCTGTTCACTTTCCACGAGTGATAATCCCTCCCCCATCCTCCCAAAACAACGTGGTCACTCAATCCATGACTGTTTGTGGGACACTGCTGTGTGCAATTGGCTGTCACGTTTCGTCCACAGAATATAGTCAATTCACTTTAAAGTATATTTTGTAAAGCACTTTGAAATGCCTCAACAATTTGATAACGCACTCGGCGGGCTCCAGCCTACTTCATGTCCCCTATCTCGCCCGTTCCACCATTGGCGGGGGGGCCTTCAGCCACTCTGCCCCCACCCTCTGGAACTCTACCCCACAGTCCCTCTGCCTAGCCCCCCCTCTTTTGCCCCCTCACCTGAAGCCTCCTTCAAACCTCATCTCTTCAACCATGCCTTCTGTCACCCTCCTTCTCCCCCCTGCCCTTCACCCTGTCCGATCCTGACCCCAGCTCAGGCCCGAAACACTGATTGCCCAGCACTTTGGGACGTCTCAAGACCCGCCTCTTTGACTGTGCCTTCGGTCACCCTCCTAAACCTACCCGCCGCCCCACCTGATCCCAACCACCAGCTCGGGTGCAAACCCTTATCTGTCCAGCCCCTTGTGACATCCTCCTGACGTGAATGACGCTCTACAAATGTCATTTGTTGCTGTAAAAGAATGACAGCTGTGCTAAAAAGACATTCATCCACCCTTCAAACTCTTCCTATGATTCCCCCCACACCTCCTCGTGTGCATGAGCTTGGCTCAATTGATTGCACTCTTCTCTGTGTCAAAAGAATTTTGGATCAAGCCTCTTGCCTGCCCTTGACCTTATAGTCCAGACTAAGCAAATTACTTGATTTGTCTGAGGGAATGTTGGCCAGTTTAGTTTGAAGTCTCATTTGAAGGACAGCACCTCTGACAATGTAGTGCGGCACCAGCACTGTAATGGAAGTGTCAGCCTAAACTTGAGCCCAAAGTTCCAACGTGGGGGCTTGACTTGGAGGCGAGAATGCTATCAATTGAGCTATTCTGTCACCCTAGAACAGCCAGGGAGCATCAAGGTAAGTGAGAGACAGAGAAGCGGTCTTCTAAGATGTTTAAAACATGACCCATGTCACAGGTGACAGATAAAAGTGGAACAATGCCTGAACTCTGCGTGACATTAGCTTGGAATGTGTGGCATTAAAAACCCACAACTCAGATTTTTTTAAAAAAATCACTGTATAAACGCACGTACGTCTGCATTTTATAGTCTCAGGCTATTTCTGGAACTACTTTGCCCTTAAACTCTCATATTGATAGCTCTGGCAAGTGCCACTGGTTCTGAAGGGAAAGAAACAGGAAATTACCTTGTGTACCCCAGCAAGGCACGGCACCATTTTTAATTGAACGTTCTGTTCTCTAGATCTTTGTTATCAGACCAAGAAATCAAAGTGGAGCACTGGGAGTGTTTCTTTCATTGGCCTGTGTAATCGTGCAGTTGGTCAGTGATGCGCTCAGCCACTGGTGCCAGATACATCCTAGGTTTTGAAGTGTGACCCTGACATTGGCTACGGTGTGGGTCATGTAGTTAGCAGGTTGCTTTTATTCTCTGCGTACGTGCACAAATGTACGTGCAAGTGTGCTTATGTAGCGGTAAGAATGTGTTGCAGGGTTGGGTCGGGAAGAGACAGAGAAAAAGGAAATTCACCTCTTGTGCTCTTGTGTTATATTAGGGATGCCCAAGCCCTGAAATTCCAGTCTTTGCCCCCGAGAACCCTTTTGTCTCACGATTCAAGTTGACGCAGAATTGTAGAAAATTCACTGAACTAGTCTTAAAGAGAAACAAGCTTGCAATTCGCCAGTTCTCTGCCTTGCTGTCTTTGGAACAAACTGGTTTAAAAATTTAGGCTGAATTTAAAAGTTTTCCACATTTCTATGATAGGTTGCATTTTCAGAAAAAGGTCCCACAGGCTGAGGCTCATCGAGGGATTCCAGGCCTCAGACATAAAAAGGGGTTAGAAAATAATAATAATCCTTGCATTGATATAGCGCCTTAACATGATGTTGAGACAGCTTAAAGGATATATTGTAAAATAGATTGGATGTGTAAACCAGTTTGTGCACAGCAGTGTCTGACAAACAGTCGTGGATTGAGTGGCCAAATGAAAAAAAAATTGGGAGGGATTATTACGCCCAGAAAGCGAGTCGTCAATCGACTAACAACCGGGTTCCTACTTACTGCTGGGTAAACAGAAGCGTGTGGAGTAAGGAAGCTTGCCTAAGGTTTCACCTCGGAATCAAACCTCTGGGTCCTCTCGCTTCCAAGGCAAGTGCACTAACCGCTATGCTACGAGACACAAGGGTGTTAGATATAGTTAGAAACAACACTGGGGCACAAACTCAAGTCAAAATTAAAAAGAAACCAACTAAAATTGTACAGATTGAGGGAGTTCAGGGCGAGGGAAAGAGACAGCTTATTATCTTAAATGGAAGGTCAAAATCATTTCACATTTGAAGAACAAATTCAGAGATTTAGGACAGGTATTGCAGAATCCGGGATGTAAACCAGACCAATCTGAATCACAGAACTTTTATCTTGCATCTATGCTGGTGCTCGCTCCCCCACTGAAGCTCTCTACTCTAGTCCCATTCCCCTGCTCTCTCCCCATCCTGTCTGTACTGGTGCACAATCCCCCACTGGAGCTCTCTACTCCAATCCCTTTCCCTAGGCTAATAACCCTGTTGCAAAACACATCTAACCCTCGCCCCATCTGGTGATAAATGCCGTACAGTATAAGTCAGGCAGCCAGGAAGCTTGAGATGAGGGCTCATTCATCAGTTTCGCAAAGGAAGCAATTTAGATAAGTTAGAATAGGATTGTCTTTCATGCTTCCTCTATCAACACGATCAAATGGCCAGATAAAGAAATGATGCGACTCCTGGAAAGGCCTCACTGATAATCATGGGCCGCGCATCTATCGCCACCTGAAAGAGAATATCAGAGCTGGGAGACGTCAGCTCGGAAATTCAATCCTTCTCGCTGACCTGTGCCACAATTCCTGCATTTGGTAGTTTCTCTTTCAGAGAAAAACTGTGGCACAGATAAAGAACTGGCTTGTAATACCTAGATCCACAACATGGCTTTTGGCTCAGGGTCTAAACGTTGTGGATTCACGTGCATGATGCAGTAGAGTGCTGGGAGGAGTGTTCCATTGAGGTCCTTCGGATCAGACATTAAACCAAGGTCCCATCTGCATACCCCTCAGACTGACTGAACCTGTAAGTAACCTAGGCATCAGGTTCGATTCTCAGCTGTCCTTCCTAGCTCACACCTGGCCTCGACCATGACCACTTTCCTCCACCTCCGACCGTACCTCACACCGAAAATAGCTGAAACCCTTGTCCATGCATTCACCATCTCCCTCTGATTATTACAATGCCCTCCTCGGCCGGACTAACCAGCTCCACTACCCAAAAAATCTAACTGAGTCAAAACTGCTAACCATGTCCTCACCCATATCAAACTCCCCCCCATCACCCCAGTCCTTGCCAGGAACCACTGGCTCCCTATTACAGAATGGATTGGTTTCAAAATCCACACACAAGTTTACAAATCCCTTCACACCCTTGCATCTCCCTATTTCTTTGACCTGACTTATTCTCCACTCCACCACCTGCTGCCTCTGCTCGGCTGGCTCTGGCCTCCTGTTTGTCTGTCGTCCCCTAAGCCCACCTTCAGCAGCCGTGATTTCAGCACCACGCCCTGAGCCCCTGGAACTCTCTGCCTCATTCCCTCCGCCTTGCCCCCTCCTTGCCTGTCCAGATTGCATCGAATGACATTCCTCTTTGGCTCTTTGAGTTTCCTCACTCCACACATCTCCGTTTACTTAGCGGTAAGTAGGAGCCCGGTTGTTACTCGATTGGTGGATTGCTTTCTGGGGGTAATACTCCCTCCCCAAAAGATTATAATAAACATATAAGAATAAGAATAATTTGGTCACTCTATCCATGACATTGTGGGACATTGCTGTGTGCAATTGGTTGCTGGATTTCGCCAACAAAATATACAGTCAATTATTTTGCAGTCTGCCCTGTGAAACGCTTTGAGACATCTCAATGACGTAATAGTGTACTATTTCAAATGCAAGTATTATTGTGTCCATTTCCTCACAAATAAAACCTCTCCCTCTCCGTACTGCCCCCACCCCACCACCCGCCCAAGGGAAAATGTAGAACAATCACCTGCTCTGTGAGCCATCTTCACACACACTTCCACCTTTTGGTGCTCTTCGAAGCAGAGCCCAGTGATTCTCCGCGGTAACATCCCACCGTCTAGCCTGATGAACTGGCTGAGCAGCAGCACGTCCTGGAAGGAAGGGAAACGGGTCACCCCTGACGGTAGACAAGCAATCGGTAACATACAGCTTATTTAAGAGCCTTTCAGCAGGTTGTGGGATCAAGACCCAAAAATATGAATTTGAGCTCACAGTCCATGTAGGGAGGGAGGAGCATCAAATGCAAGGTTATTTATCAAGCAGCTCCCCCACACCTCTATGTCCAGAGCCCCTTTATCAACGCACAACCATCACAGGTGTTAGCCTGGCTCAGTTGATAGCATTCTCGTATTGAAGTCAGAAAGTTGTGGATTCAAGCCCCATGTTGAGACTTTAAACTCGTAACCTAGGCTGATACTGAGGTGAAGTATTTGGGTGGGGGAGCACTGTATCATTGGAGGTGCCTTCCTTCAGATGGGATGTTCAACCAAGGTCCTATTTGGTTGTCCAGGTGGACGGTAAAGATCCTACGGCACTATTTGAAAAAAAGCAGTTTCTCTCTCCCGGTATCCTGGCCGACAATCCGCCAGATAAAATTGGTCACTCACTTCACAGCCATTTCTGGGACGTTACTGTGCAAAAAAAATGGCTGCCACATTCATCTACAAAATAAAATAATTACGCTTTACAATAAATCCCTTAAAGGGCGTTGAGAGATCGTCTCGCGGTGATATCAAACTGAACGATTATCAGTGTTACAGCAAATGCAATGAAAAGACGGATGCTTTTAAAGTGAGATCCTCTGCTGTCCTGCAGGTAGCGCTCTGCAACAGCGAGCTACAGGCTTTGCTGTTTATTTGGGGACTTTAGGGGCTGAGCCAGCAAAAGAGACATTTAATTGAAAAGCTCAGGGTAGCCCGGGCTCCCAATATTTGAGTGAGGAAACAGGTCCCATTGTCCTGGAATATTTGCTTGCATTCAGTGGCGTCACATTCTTGGTAGTTTGCCAACTGGGGCTGCAGAGGGAACAGAGGGATTTGTAAAGGCTCCACAGACCAGAGTTATGGGTAAATATTTATTAGTCGGTTTAGCCTTTCTTAAAGTAGTGCTGTAAACACAAGAGTGTCTGACAGTGGGTTAAAAAGCTCTTTCAAGCCAGCTCCAATCAGCCCAAGCACGACTGCGTGAAACTCTCTCTTCCAGCCTTAAACGTGTTGAAATAAATAGAATTGGGATTTAGCACAGCTCTTTTCTTAAGAATTTCCACTTCATAGCCCTTCTACAGGGTGTCCACAAAGTCCTGTTTTCCAATTTTTTTTTCTACAGTGCACTGACCAACAACTGAAACATGTGGAAGAATGATAATTGTATTTTGAAGTATTCAGTGCAAGTGTTTAACTGTATTTAGATGTCCAGAGGATCGGTGTGAGTGAGTGCCATCAGTTTTGTGGCAGATAATGATCCGTCGCCATGTTTGGCATGACATATTCCATAACATGATGGAGTGACGAGGCAAAATGCATTTCTGACAGCTTGTTTCAGCTTCTCCGACAGGGTAACAAAACTTTGTGGATACCCTGTACATCAAGCTGCCTCAAAACCTTACAGCACAGCATTTATTCAAAGGTGTTTTTTTCATTATAAACAAACCTCTAATTTTGCCCGAGCCTGAGACTTGAGTAAATATGGTAAAAATGCATAGTCTTTTATCAGCGAACTTTGAGACGTTTCAAGACATGATAAGGCATTATACCAAATGCAAGTATAATTATTTTTATATTAAATGTACCAGCCAATTTGCATGAAGCTCTCACAAGCATATATGGGGTGTAACTAATACATGGAGACTCACTGATCAGGATATGTTATCAAGCGTGCTGTATTCTGATGATAGAGACTGGTCAACGAGTCCTACCACAACCTCCGCTCCACCAACTTAGACCTGCTTCTGTCCCTTGCCCCCCCCCTCTGTCGGTGAATGAGCTTTCAGCCACGTTGCCTCTGATCTCTAGAATGCCATCCCTAAATCCTTTCTCCTCACACACTCTTCCCTTCCTGGTTTTCAAATCCAGTCTAAAAACCTCTCTTTGACTGATTTCCCATGGAAATCAGGTACATGATTCCTGCTGTCGTGATTAGCTTCAGGGCCAAAAATAATTGACAAAGCTTTGGCAATATTAAGTGTCAATAGGGAAACGTGGCCAATTCAATAACCCACTTTTGTATTTTTGCAGAGGACTTTTACAAGAATGATACCAAAAATAAGGGATTACAATTATGTGGAGAGATTAGAGGCTGGGATTACTCTCCTTAGAGCACAGCAGGTTGAGGGGAGATTTAATAGAAGTGTTCAAAATTATGAGGGGATTTGATAGATAGGGAGAAACTGTTTCCTCTGGCGGGTGGGTCGGTAACCAGAGGACACAGATTTAACATAATTGGCAAAAGAACCAAAGTGGAAACGAGGAGACTCTTTTTTACCCAGAGAGTTGTTACGGTTCTGGAATGCACTGCCTGAAAGGGTGGTGGAAGCAGTTTTGATAATAGCTTTCAAAAGGGAAATGGATAGGTACCTGAAAAGGAAAAATTTGCAGAGCTATGGGGTATGAGCGGAGGAGTGGGACTACTTGGTAGCTCTTTCAAATAGCCGGCACAGGCACGATGGGCCGAATGGCCTCCTGTGCTGTAAGATTCCATGATTTATATATAATAATCCTTGCATTTGATGTAGCTCATTATCAAGTCGTTGAGACATCTCAAAGCGCTTCACAGAATCTACTGTAAAGTGAATTTTGTGGGTGAAATGTGGCGGCCAATTGCGCACAGCAGTGTCCCACAAACAGCCTTGTAGTCAAGCCGTTATGCATTGACACAAACAAATTGGGTCAAATGGTCACCTACTGTGCTGTACTTTTACATGGTTCTATTTAACCATTAATTTAAAATTTGCAGTAGAATATTGAGCATTGGTGAAGTAATGCGTATGAGATTTTCTGTATCAGGTGAACCTTTAGGTGATATTAATCTATGTAACCTTATTAATGTTTCCTGATTAATGTAAACCTTTGCCCATATACGTCTTATCCATGACTGTCTGTGGGACATTGCTTTGCGCAATTTGCATTTCTCCTGCAAAATGTACAGCCAATCCACTTTACATTATATTCTATGAAGCGCTTTGAGATCATGTGATAAGGCACTATGTAAATAAATAATAATCCTTGCATTTTAAATAGTGCTTTCATGTCTTTTAGACGTCTCAAAGTGCTTCACAGAATATACTGCAAAGTGAATTGACTGTATATTTGTGGACGAAACGCGGCAGCCAATTGTGCACAGCAGCGTTCCACAAACAGTCGTGGATTGAAGTGACCAATTTATCATTGTCCTTTTTTCTTGAGGGATTATTAGCAGGCATATGGAGTAAGGAAAGTAGGGTCCAAGGTTTCACTCTACTGGGAATTGAACCCAGGTCTCTCGCTTGCGAGGTGAGTGCTCTAACCACTGAGCTACATGACTCCTTAAATGCAAGGATTATTATCATTATATTATTATTGTAAATCCTTCTTCCAATCTCCCATGCTGCTCAGGCTCTAATATCTCTGTCAAATGCATTAACATTTAAAAATGTGAATGGCGCAATAAGGGCAGGCTGTTATCTGTGTGTGTGTGTGTACGTGAGGGAGGTGGTGGTGGGTGGGGTATGTGAGTATATCAGAGCTGAGCCTCACCCCGTCAGTGAAGGCCGACAGAAGAGCCCTTTGCAGTAGCTGGTTTAATAGAACAGGGGTCAAGGGAATGAGATTGTTTATCTTAACCTCAACACTCAACGTTGGAACAGTGAACACATAATGGAAAGGGCACAGAACCTATGTTTGTGTCATGCATTCCTATGGGGTGGGGGGGGGGGGGAATGGGGGGGAGGGGGGGAACAGGGGGAGGAGGGGAGTGGGGTTCTCAAACCTGCACACTGCCATCTCACGTTTCGCCAGTTCTGGGAGCTGGGCGCAACACTCAAGCCACGTTATTTTCAGTCAGCTCAGTGTCTCAGCCTGGCTCAGTCATAGCGCTCTCGCCTGATTCAAAAGGTTGAAGTTCAAGACCCACGTCGAAACTTAGAAATACATAGTCTAAGCAGACACTCCAATGCAGTGCTGGGGGGGTGTTGCATTGTTGGCCTTTAGATAAAGACGTTAAACCGAGGTCCTGTCTGTCTGTTCAATTGGATGTTAAAGATCCTATGGCACTATTCGGAAAGAGAAGGGAGTTTCTCTCTCCTGGTGTCCTGGCCAATATTCCCCCAATTAAAATTGGTCACTCACTCCATGGATACATTAGAATATACAGCACAGAAACAGGCCATTCGGCCCAACTGTTCTATGCCGGTGTTTATGCTCCACCTGAGCCTCCTCCTGCCCTTCCTCAACTAAGTCTTCAAGCTTGTGGGACATTGTTGTGCGGATATTTGTGGGACATTGCTGTGTGCAAACCAGCTGTTGCATTTCGCCCACAAAATACACAGTCACTACACTTTACAGTATATTCTGTGAAATGCTTTGAGACGTCTCAATAACTTGATAAGACACTATACCAAATGCAAGGATTATTATTATGGGACATGTCCCCACCTAGTGAAGGAAACTGTCCCAGAGGAATGCAATGATTTCATTAAGAGCAGTCAGGGATTTCCAGTAACCCCGTCAACTGTGGCAGACATCACTGTGCACCTTTCTGCACTTTCTCTGTATCACAGCCAACAAGAGCAAACCGTTCAACCTTTTTCTACTCTTTTCGTTATGGCTTCAAGCCCCACGACAATCTTCCTTGGTGAGGGTGGTAAGTGTGGTCTATAGTATTCCAGGGCACTGCTGCTGACAGCACAACTAGCCTGGCTCATCAGCAGGACTTGGATGGGCAGACCAGTCACTGGGGGGCAGGAAATTATCCCATTCAGCTTCTGTTAACCCTCCAAGCCAAAGTCCTAATGGGTAGGGTGGCCCTAGCTGGACAAGCAGTGGGAAAGCTGGCCAGACAGCGCTCTCAAGGCAAGCTATGCGATTTTAGCTGGTTAGACTCTAGCAGTTACCCCAGTGCAGACTCTGGCGCACACATTCACTTTTAAGGCCATCCATGGCCTTGCCCCCTCCTACCTCTTTGACCTGCTGACTCTCTACCAACCTGCCCACTCCCTCCGTTCAGTGGGCTCCGGCCTGCTCCATGTCTCCAGCCCGACCCCCTCTACCATTGGTGGCCAGGCTTTCAGCCTCTCTGTCCCCACACTCTGGAACTCTATCCCACGGTCCCTTCGCCTCGCTTCCTCCCTTGCATCCTTCAAGGTTGGTCTCAAGACCCTTCTCTTCGATCATGCCTTTGGTTGCCCTCCCACCTCTCTGCCATACCTCCCCCATGCTCGGGCCCCGACACCTGACTGTTCAGCGCTTTGGGACATCCTCCCGACATGAAAGGCGCTCTATAATGTAATTTTGTTGTTGTTGTTGGCGTCCCAAGCCTTGGTTCTCACCAATCTACATTGAATAATTTCCGGAATTAATTAAGCAGGATGCATCGCTCCAGGGAGAGTGTGTATTCCATTCCAGCAATCTACCTGTGTAGTTGTGATGCATGGAATTCTCAGTTTGGTTTGGATACTCTTAAGCATGGTGATAGGTTTCTGCATGTGTCAGGACAGTCGGCTGACCCAAAAAAAACACAGCTGCTGAGCTCACAGTCCAGATAACAATCCATTGCAGTGCTGGGGAGAGCTGCATTATTGGAGATGCTGTCCTTTAGATGACGCAGCTACTTACATTTACACAGCACCTTTCCCCGTCAGGAGGAGGTGTCAAAGCATTTTGCACAATTGACTGGGCACCAGAGCTAATGCAAGGTGAAGGTGTGGGAAAAGCACAATCAAACAGAGAGATTAAACAAATGTGCAGTCCATCGTTCCTGGTTCCAGACACTTGTTCAGGTGGATGTTAAAGATCTAGCAGCAGCAGTGGAAAAGAGAAGGGAGTTTTCTCACTGTGTTCGGGCCAACAATCCTGCAAACATGTTGCACATTTTTTGGCTGCCACATTTGGCTTCAAACAAACAGCCATCAAACTTAATTACTGTAAAACACTTTGAAACATTGACATTATGGCACTGTATTAAAAGCAGGGACCATTATTAAACCAGCTGTTAAACCAATAATAAGCTTGCATTTGACACAGCGCTTTATCACTTTGCGAGACATCTCAAAGCGCTTGACAGAATATACTGTAAAGTGAATTGACTGTATATGTTATGGTCTTTCCCCACCTTTGTCCCCATGTCTCAATGAGCGAGCAAGCAATGCTAGAGACATTTCAGTGCATAAAAATCTCGACAAATGCAGATTCTTTCTTCCTGGTTTGCATCAGCGTGTGACGCTTACGGAAACTTCCTTCTCTTTTCCAACAGTGTCTTGGAATCTTACCATAAATGAGACACCCATTACAGAGACGAGAAGTTTCAGCAGAGTGCTTTACTTACTGTGTAATTGTATTTATGCTTCAGATTCCACCTGCAGATTGGACATTGACCCAGAGGATTCGGAGGCAAAACTGGCACGGTGGAATCCTCCACCTTCTTCCCTTCGATCTGCAAGCAGAAAAGAACATTTTGCCGTACTGGGGGTAGTGGAGCACCCACTTGCCTCATAATAATCCTCACATTTGATTTAGCACACCATCAAGCAGAAAGTTAGCCCTGCAAGCCAAAGTAATGGGTAGGGTGGTCCAAGCGGGACAAGTGGCAAGAAAGCTTGCCAGGCAGCACTCTCAATGGCAAGCCATGCGGTTTTAGCTGGTTAGATTCCAGCAGTTACCCAAACGCACTCTCTGAGGTGCCTAAACCTTGGTTTGTATCACATTTTGCCTAATACTTTCCAGAATTAGGTAAGCAGGATGAGTCCCTCCTGGGAAAGAATGTGCATTCCATTCCAACAGTCTATCTCAGGAATTTCCACGTGCAGATGGGATGCATGGAATTCTCATTTGGTTTGGAGACTCTTAAGCATGGTGATGGATTTCCGCATGTGTCAGATACGTGACTGACCCCTCCGCCCCAAAAGGCTTCACAAATTTCTGCAAAGTGTGGTGATTGTAGGTGAGCATTTGTGAAACTTAGCTTTGGGCAAAATCTCCCCTGCATTTGTAGACGGATGCACAGTCACCACACTTGTCTTCAATTCCTTCGGAAAAGCTTTGAGACGTTTGACATAAGACACTTCACTGCTATAATAACTTGCATTTATATAGCAACCTTCACGTAGGATAAATCTGAGTTCTTCAGAGCGTCTGGATCGGACGCCGATCAAGGAGGAAGTGGGAGGTGACCATAGAAGAGGTCAAAGAGCTTTAAGGTGGGATTTACAGATCTATAAAGAGGAAGTGAGGCAGAGGGATAGAGGCAGGGAGTTCTAGTGGTTGGACATAATGACACTCGGTCAACAGCAATAAATTGCATTCATAGAACTTTTCATGTCAGGAGGCGTCCCAAGGCATTGGTCAATGAGGAATTTGCACCCGCGTTGTGGGTTGGAATCAGAGAGTGGTGGAGTGCATGGGGGATGGAAGTGGGAAGATAACCGAAGGCACGGTCGAAATTAAGGTCTTGAGACGGTCAACCAGTGGTGGTGGTGTGGAAGAGACAGGCAGAGGAGTGAGGTATGAGGAGACCAGAGATTGGGAGGTGCTAGGGTTTGAAGGGATTTATATGCAAGCGTGAGCACCTTGAAGTAATCCATTTGAGACAGGAAGCCAGGCAGACAACGCCCCTGGTGGTTGCTCAAATACGCTGCCATTGGCCGACCTGCTGTGCCTGCACTGAAAGCCAGTCAATCATCACCAGAGGCTTCTATATTAGCAGATCCTGGTAAACAGGACCTGACTATACAGTAAAACTCATAAAATTTGTATCAGTCGGGACCATAACCTTAAATACGACTTACGCAAAGTTCGAGTTGCAGGCAAACTGTATAAAGTCGTATAAAATCCGATTTAATCAATAATCTACACTGTGCATGCATAATTTATTGCACTCAATAAATGAGAATTCAGTGACATGTCAAAACCATGTTCCCCACAATTCGATGCGTCTTGATGTGTCACATGTGCACTTACCAGCAAACATTGGAATCACTTTGAATCGTGGGAAATTTAAGTTCTTTTACATGTACGTCGACAGATCAAGACTGTTTCCCACGACTCAATGCAACCGGTAAGTGAGGGAGTAATGGAGGGTAGGAGAGCGGCGTAACGAGTTAGATGATTAATATGAGTAGTGTAAAGAAATATAAATAGTTTTGATATTAAATTGAATGGGACTCGGGTGAATGTTTGACCTAGGCAATTATACGATTTATAAAGATAAGACGTATGCAAGTTTTACTGTAATGTAATACAAACACAATGAGCTGAACAGCCCTCATTTATCCTAAAAATGTCCAAGGTTTCTATGGGAACAGACCACAACAGTAAACTGCTCAATAATAGTCCTTTAACAATAATCTGATATAGCGCCTTTCACTTCACAAGATTTCCTGTAAAGTCTAGTGACTGAGTAGGTGAACACCGCAGCAAATTTGCGCATTGCAGTGTCCCACAAACAGCCATTAAATGAGCAAAAATGTTATCTAGGGAATTGTTAGCTATAACACTGGGAGAAATGCCCTTCTCTTTTCCAACAGTGTCATGGGATCTTTAACTTACACCTGAAACAGGCACAGACGGGACCTCGGGTTAAATGTCTCATCTCAAATTGTAACTCAAAGACTGTACAGTGCTCCCCCAGCAATGTAAAAGGGTGTCTAGATTATGAATTAAAATGCCTGACAAGGGGCTTGAACCCACAGGCTTCTGATTCAGAGGCAAGAGTAATACTGAGTGAGTCACACTGACATGCTTACAGTGAAGGAGACAGTGGCGATGGGCAGTAAAGGCACTTTACTCACCGTGATGTTCATTCCATCCTGGGTTCTCACAACTGCAAGGGACAGAAAGCAAACTTTGAAATTCAACACATCCTGTGCAAAGAGCTGTTTTATGAACCACTCTCTCACTCTCTAGAGCTTTCTGTTTTATAACCCCTGCGTCTGTCTGCATCATAAACCTCTCTCCATCTAAATTATGACTTCTCTGTCCCTGTATAACCTCTCTCTGTCACTGTATTATACAACAACAAGAAAATTACATTTGTATAGCGCCTTTCACGTCAGGAGGATGTCCCAAGGCGCTGGACAGACAGAGTTACAGACTCGAGCTGAGGGTTGGGGTGGGTGGAGGGCAGGGGGGAAAGCACGGTCGAAGAGGAGGATCTTGAGGTGGTCTTGAAGGTGGTGAGGGAGGGAGCAAGGCGGAGGACTACAGGATGGAGTTCCAGAGGGTGGGTGCAGAGTGGCGGAAGGCACACCTGCCGATAGTGGGGCGAGCAAGGCGGGGGACGTGAAGCAGCCGGAGCGCACTGAGCGGAGGGAGCGAACAGGGTGGTAGGGGGGTTAGGTGGTCGGAGACATAGGGGGGAGCAAGACGGTGGAGGGCTTTAAAGGTGAGGACCAGGATTTTGAACTGTATCTTCTGTGTGATGGGAAGCCAGTGGAGTCAGGCGAGGGTGGAGATGATAGGGTCGCGGAGCCTAGTGCAGGAGAGGACACGGGCTGCAGAGTTCTGGATGATCTGTAGCCTGTGGAGGGAGGAGTTGGGGAGGCCGACAAGCAGTGAGTTTACATAGTTGAGCCTCGATGTAATGAACACGTGTATGAGGGTTTAGGTGGCCTGCAGTGTGAGACAGTGTCGGAGCCAGACAACGTTGCGGAGGTGGGGAAGGCAGAGCGGGTCATGGCACAGGTGTGGGGTAGAAAGGATAGTTGAGGGTCAAACAAGGCCCCAAGGTTCTGGACTGGCTTAGTAAGGTGGAGTGTGCAACCATGGATGGTGATGCTGTCAGTGCCTGAGGTGAGGAGGGGCTGACGGGAGCCAATCAGGAGAGCCTCGGTCTTGTTGACGTTCAACTGAAGAAAGTTAGTTCTCATCCAGGACTTAATGTTTGACAGACATTCTGTCAGCACAGCAGTGATCCTGGAGTCAAGGGTGGAGGCAGAGAGATAGAGTTGGGTTTCATCCGCATACATGTGAACCTCTCTCTCTCTGTCACTGTATTGTAACCTCTCTCTCTCTGTCACTGTATTGTAACCTCTCTCTCTCTGTCACTGTATTACAACTTCTCACTCTGTCACTGTATTATAAGCTCTCTCTCTGTCACTATTATAAGCTCTCTTTCTGTCACTGTATTATAACCTCTCTGTGTTACTGTATGATAACCTCTCCCTTTGTCACTGTATTATAACCTCTCTCTTTGTTACTGTATTATAACCTCTCTCTCTGTCACTGTATTATAACCTCTCTCTCTGTCACTGTATTATAACCTCTCTCTGTCACTGTATTATAACCTCTCTGTGTTACTGTATGATAACCTCTCCCTTTGTCACTGTATTATAACCTCTCTCTTTGTTACTGTATTATAACCTCTCTCTCTGTCACTGTATTATAACCTCTCTCTGTCACTGTATTATAACCTCTCTGTGTTACTGTATGATAACCTCTCCCTTTGTCACTGTATTATAACCTCTCTCTCTGTCACTGTATTATAACCTCTCTTTCTCTGTCACTGTATTATAAACTCTCTCTCTGTCACTGTATTATAACCTCTCTCTCTGTCACTGTATTATAACCTCTCTCTCTGTCACTGTATTATAACCTCTCTCTCTCTGTCACTGTATTATAACCTCTCTCTCTGTCACTGTATTATAACCTCTCTCTCTGTCACTGTATTATAACCTCTCTCTCTGTCACTGTATTATAACCTCTCTCTCTGTCACTGTATTGTAACCTCTCTCTCTGTCACTGTATTGTAACCTCTCTCTCTCTCTCTGTCACTGTATTATAAACTCTCTCTCTGTCACTGTATTGTAACCTCTCTCTCTGTCACTGTATTATAACCTCTCTCTCTGTCACTGTATTATAACCTCTCTTTCTCTGTCACTGTATTATAAACTCTCTCTCTGTCACTGTATTATAACCTCTCTCTCTGTCACTGTATTATAACCTCTCTCTCTGTCACTGTATTATAACCTCTCTCTCTCTGTCACTGTATTATAACCTCTCTCTCTGTCACTGTATTATAACCTCTCTCTCTGTCACTGTATTATAACCTCTCTCTCTGTCACTGTATTATAACCTCTCTCTCTGTCACTGTATTGTAACCTCTCTCTCTGTCACTGTATTGTAACCTCTCTCTCTCTCTCTGTCACTGTATTATAAACTCTCTCTCTGTCACTGTATTATAACCTCTCTCTCTCTGTCACTGTATTATAACCTCTCTCTCTGTCACTGTATTATAACCTCTCTCTCTGTCACTGTATTGTAACCTCTCTCTCTGTCACTGTATTGTAACCTCTCTCTCTGTCACTGTATTGTAACCTCTCTCTCTGTCACTGTATTGTAACCTCTCTCTCTGTCACTGTATTGTAACCTCTCTCTCTCTCTGTCACTGTATTATAACCTCTCTCTCTGTCACTGTATTGTAACCTCTCTCTCGCTCTCTCTCTCTGTCACTGTGTGTGTGTGACTGTAAACTCACTGTGCTTCAGGCCGCGGGACGGGTTGAGCCCTGACCCCGGGCTCAGGGACGGGCTGGAGCGGAGGCACCGAGCGAGCAACGCCCTCATGGCGGCCGCCATCTTCACCCGCCCGCCGCTCGCATTTCCGCTTCCGCTCACACCTGCCAATCACACATGTCCCACCCCCACCCATCACCGAGAGCCACGTGACCCCCCCTTCACCACCCAGAGCCACGTGACCCCCTCACCACCACTCAGAGTCACGTGACCCCCTCACCACCACCCAGAGCCACGTGACCCCCTCACCACTCAGAGTCACGTGACAAGAGTCCCCTGACACCCTCACCCGACCCCATCATCCTTTACCCAGAGCCTTGGACGGTTCCTCTGTGTTAAGCGGGGGGGGGGGGGGGGGGGGGGGTGATCCCCGGAGACAGGCCGGCTCAGTGCTACCACTCTCGGCTCCTGCATCTGAAGGCTGTGGGTTCCAGTCCCCACGTCGGGACTTGGAATCCCAAAGTCCAGGCTGACGCTCCAATGCAGCGCTGGGGGTATTGTCAGAGGTGCCGTCCTTCGGAGGAGACATTAAACCTACCTACCTGCCCGTACCCTCCGTTCCTCCGGCTCCGGTCTGCTCCACGTCCCCCGCCCCAACCGCCCAACCATCGGTGGTCGGGCCTTCAGCCTCTCAGCCCCGAGGCTCTGGAACTCTATCCCCCAGTGCCTTCGCCGCCTCCTCCCTCTCCTCCTTCAAGGCCGGTCTCAAGACCTTTCTCTTTGACCGAGCCTGCAGCTCCCCTCTCGACTCTCTACCCCCTCCTCGCTCCCTCCCTTCCCTCCCCTCACCCTGGCCATTCCCCCTCCTCGCTCCCTCCCTTCCCTCCCCTCACCCTGACCATTTCCCCCTCCTCGCTCCCTCCCTCCCCTCACCCTGACCATTTCCCCCTCCTCGCTCCCTCCCTTCCCTCACCCTGACCATTTCCCCCCTGCTCGGGTCCTGACCCAACTGTCCAGCGCCTTGGGACGTCCTCCCGACGTGAAAGGCGCTTTATAAATGGAATCTTGTTGTTGTTGTTGTAAATACGCTCAGAATATAAGATTGACACATGCAGACAGACACCCGTCATTCGTTTAAAATTCTCTAAACCGCACCACTAAGAGCTCTACAGAAGCTTGGAAATTCATGCGTCTCGAATGGGATGTGCACTCTCTCCCTGGAAGGGACACATGCTGCTTATCTAATTCGGTAGAGTATTAGGTGCAGGTTGGCAAGAGCCAAGGCTTGGGGACCCCAGAGGGTGCGGTGTGTTGGGGTAACTGCTGGAGTTTACTCAGCTAAAATCACATAGCCTGCCATTGTCTGGCAAGCTTTCCCACTGCTTGTCCATCCAGGACCACACTACCCGTTAGCACTCTGGCTTGCAGGTTAACAGAACAACAACAACAACTTGGATTTATATAGCGCCCTCCACGCCGGACGGCATCTCAGAGCGCTTCACAGTCACGGATCCCGGGGCCGAGCCAGGGGGAGGGGGAGGAAGGTGACCAAAGGCGCTGAAGCTAACAGAAGCTGAGTGGGAAGAATCCTTGCCCCAGTGACCATGTCTTTTGGTATTATTGGACAGGCCAGGATAATATATGAAGCTGTTTAGTTACTTACTGTCAGTCCTGTCTGCACCTCATGATTCACAGGTTGTCGGACAACCCCACTCTGTCAAAACACAGCCTACAAGTGTGCTGTGTTATAGCAGACTGCTAATTCCCAGGGGTGGCAGGACAGGCCTCCTTCGTACAGGGAAGCAAGGGGAAATCTGGATTTACACCTGCTCCCTCGCCAGATCTCAACCCCCTGAGATAAGCTACGCCTTGTCTCTCTGTGCCACAGAACCAAAATCCCACCCAGTATCACATCTCAGTGTGTGCAAAATAGATGCTGATTTCACCTGCAAGAAAACAGTCACTACACTTGATAGCAACTCCCCCTTTATCAGGTTACGTTGTGTAGGCATTTTCTCAAAACACAAGGATTGTTTTTATCAGTAATTAATTTAACTTTGTGAAGACCTGTAGCTCAGTGGTTAGAGCACTCGCTTTGCAAGTGAGAGACCTGAGTTCAATTCCAGGCAGAGGGCGAAACCTTGGGCAAGTTTCCTTACTCCACACAGAGCCTAATAATAATCCCTCCAAAAACAAAAACAATAATAAAAATTGGTCATTTTCAATCTACGACTGTTTGTGGGACATTGCTGTGCGCAATTGGCTGCCGCGTTCGCCCACAAATATACAGTCAATTCACTTTACAGTATATTCTGTGAAGCTTTAGAAGACGTGAAAAGCACTATATCAAATGCAAGGATTATTATTATTATTAACTTGGAATCACATAGTCTAAGCTCCAAAGCAATGCTGGGATTGTGTTACATTGTTGGAGATTCCGTCCTTCGGACGAGTTGTTAAGCTGAGGTGCCGTCTGCCTGTTCAGGTAGACGTTAAAGTTCCTGCTATTCGAAAGGGGCTATGAGTTTCTCTCTCCTGGTTTCCTGGCCAACAAACCCGCAAATAAAATTGGTCGCTCACTCCATGGCTGTTTGTGGGACACTGCTGGGCACAAACTGGCAGCCACATTTCACCAACAAACACATTCAATCCACTTTACAGTATATCCTGTGAAGTGCTTTGAGACGTGTCGATGACATGATAAGGCCCTTATGAAATGCAAGGATTATTATTATATGTGTCCATTCCAGTAAAAATATCCCCAGTCTATCTGCACATTTAAACCCCTCCCCCACCCCACTCCAAGGAAAATGTAGGACAATCATCTTCTCACTACCTCTCCGACTGTGCCTATGGTGACCTCCCCTCCACTCCTCCCACCCCATCCCACCTCCTGCATTAGGTGTGTGACCTTGTGAAGGATGCAAGTTGTTGTTGTTGTTGATCAACCCGCCACTGTGAATTGCTCCAAGATGTTATCCTACATGAAGGATGCTGTATAAATGTAATTTGTAACTGGTGCTTTGATTCTGAGTCTACTGTTAAACACCAGCAATAACTCTCTCCTTTGTTTCTCTCCCTCTCATCACCTTCAGGCTACATGTCCAGCCGTTCAGGTCAAAGGGCCTTTGCTATAATTGCCTGCAGGCGGTTCTGTAGACAGCTAGTCATTTCCCTTTCTGTCTGTCTGGGATCCTTTACTCTCGGTGTGCATCCTTTGGATGAGACATTAAACTGAGGCCCTATCTGCCTGGTGGAAGCACACAGCTATTGGAAAAGAGAAGGGAGTTTCTCTCTCCCAGTGTCCTAGCCAACAATCTCCCAAATAAAATTGGTCACTCACTCCATGGCTGTTTGTGGGTCACTGCTGTGTGCAAATTGGCTGTTTTAATCACCCACAAAATATCATCACTACACTTTACCGGAAATCCTGTGAAGCACTTTACAACGTTCTGCTGACATGGAAGGCGTTTATATCAGATGTAAGGATTGAAATACAAAGTTAATTCACTTTATAGCATTTCTGTGAATCCCTTTGAGACGTCTCAATGACGTGATAAGGCGCTATATCAAATGCAAGGATTATTATTATTCCTACTGGCAATATTGTAGAAAGGATTATTTCACTCTCAAGAGTTCCTCTGTCATGAATTTCTCTCTGTAAGTATTTTTTGATTGGACAGTACACTCAGGGCTCAGGTGGGCATTAGTGATTAGAAGACAGAAGGCAGTTTCTGCCGACAATCCCCCAGACAAATGTAATCATTTATCTCACAGCTGCTTGTGGGACATTACTGTATGCAAATTGGTGGCTGTGTTTGCATGCAAAATACACGGTCATTGCACTTTACAGCAATATCCTGGGAAGCACTCTGAAGTGTTTCAATGTTATAACAATAATAATAATAACCAAACAATTTGGCATTGGAGAATGGAGGAACTGTGCATTTTATAGGCGAACATGGCAGCTAATTTGCAAACAGCAATGTTCCACCATCAGCCATGAAACAAATGACCCTATTTTATTTGGGGGATTGTTGGCCAGGTCACCAGGAGAGAGAAATGCCCTTCTCCTTTTGAATAGTGCCACGGGATCTTCAACGTTCAGCTGAACAGGCACAGATGGGACCTTGGTTTAACATCTCATCCAAAGGACGGCACATTCGACAATGCAACAGCCCCCTAGCACTGCTTTGGAGTGTCATCTTAGACAAGTCTCGAACTGGGGCGTGCACCTACAACCTTCTGAGTCAGAGGCGAGATTGCTACCACTGAGCTAGGTTGACACAAAGGTGCTACATCAAATGCAAGTTGTTATAAGGTGTCAGTCAGGCTCAGTTGGTAGCACTCTCGCCTCTGAATTAGGAGGTTGTGGGTTCAAGCCTTACATCTCAGCCTGAGACATTATGCTCATTGTCTATGCTGATAATCCAATGCAGTGCTGGGAGGTGGAGGATGTGAGTGGTGGTGGGTTACATTGTTGGAGATTCCCTCGTTCGGATGAGATTTTAAACCGTAACTCTATCTGTGCCTATTCAGGTGGATATTAAAGATCGTGCGGTGCTATTCGAAAAGAGAAGGGAGTTTCTCTTTCTCAGTATCCTGGTCAAGAGTCCTCCAAATAAAATTAGTCACTCACTACATGGCTGTCTGCGGGACATTGCTGTGTGAATATTGGCTGCCGTGTTCACCTACAAAACACAGTTACAACATTTTACAGTAATTGCTGTGAAGCACTTTGAAATGTTTAGATGTTATAGGTGCTACATCAAATGCAAGGATTACTATTATATATTTTCAACGACAACAAAATTAAATTATACAACGCCTTTCACATCGGAAGGACATCCGAAAGTGCTGGACAGTTAAGGGTTTGTAGCTGAGCTTGTAGTTGGAATCAAGAGGGTTGGAGGGAAGGAGAGATAGGAGGGTGGCCGATCAAAAAGGAAGGTCTTGAGATGGGTTTTGAAGGAGGTGAAGGTGGGGGCAAAGTGGAAGGATTCCGGGTTCGAGCTCCGGAGGGTGGGGACAGAAAGGCTGAAGATTCTACCACCAATGATGGGCACCTTGGGACATCCTCCCAATGTGAAAGGCGTTATATAAATGCAGTTTGTTGTCGTTATATATTGAATAAATTATTGGAGTATTTACTATTTGGGATCAGATTAACATCTCA